CCCCCCCACCCAGAATCTCTCTCTCTCTGTGTCTTTCTCTTTACTTTTAATCCATTCCCTCTTGGCATGCTGCTGCTCCATGTCTATTGAAGCTGAACTGAATGCAAGTGTCAGCGGCCCCAATGGCTTTTTTTTATTATTAAGATCCATTATGGAACATGCAAGGACTTTGTGTTTGCCTCTGCATGTGCATGCATGTGTGTGTGTGTGTGTGCTGAGAAGGGCTAGTTTTTTAGATGGGGATATATTCTCCTACATCCTTGTATATGAATACATACAAACGTTTGTGTGTGTGTGCCTGCTCACAGGGCTGTGATGTGATGTGATGAAGAGGAACAATAATAGACTCTTCAACTCATGAAGCCAGAGTTATAGGATGCACACAAACACTGCAACACACAGCTCGGGGTGTCTCGGAGGAACAATGGGACCAGTCGTTCCTTTTATAGCAGCCAACAGGAGTGTGAGGGTTTCGCTGCTCCTCTTGTCGCTTCCAGGGAGTGTGACGTGAATTGCGCGCGTGTGCGTGCTCGCTTCTGTTCTTGTGTCACGTAGCTGCAGCTGATGAGAGTGCTGATGTCCTTCCCCTTGAAATACTGCAGCATCTTTGCAGTTCAGTGCAGAAACTTGAGCGTGCATAGACATGCAGCCTTGTGCTTCGGCCTTTCTGTTTCACAGACCTCAGCACAGTTTAGTGCTCTTGTGATCACTTCTTTAATGCTAGCTGGGAAACTTTGCACTCAGCGAACATCTGTGAAATCACCCAAGACCTCTTCAATTCGAAAACAGCGAGTTAAAGTAGCAGATAGCAGGCTGTGCTGGGATATAGCCTTGCATGTGTGCTTTTGTCCATTCACAAATGTGCGTGTGTTTAGATACTGGAGGGTATGTGAGAGTTTATGTTCCTGTTAAGCTCTGTCTTGTTGTGTTGTGGCCTGGGAGCCATGAGCTTATGAGAGCTCTCCTGTCTCTACGCTTCAAGAGCTCCATTATTCATAAAACTCTGTGCCAACAGCGCAGACGGGTCTATGTCTGTATAGTGTATGTGTGTTTTCTCATCTTATGTATATTGTGCTTTAAAGTGATTCTTTAGTTTTCAGTGATAACCAGGAATTTGAAACTAATAAGAAAGTTGTTCCAGCTTAGAGCAAAGTGAGTATTTGAAAGCTTGGCATGCTTTAAATATGGCTGAGATGATGTTGGTGATGACAGGCCTCACTCTGTTCACACAGTCATCCTCGCGGAACGTAGACACAACACCTCTACGTACACTGAGGTCAGTGGCATCCCACTACAACTAATGGCTGACAAATCTCAGATTCTGATATTAAACTTCTGCCTGCATCTGCAAGCCACTTTACAATCCAAAATCAACCCATATGTGTCTGACAATCAGTATCATGTCTGTTGTTGCAGATGCCTAGTCTATTCTTCCCGCCTTATTGTTTCTGTAGTCGTAGAAAGGTGAGGAGGGCTGTGTACAGCGCCATGCTGCCAAATCTAAATTACTCCAGGGAGAAATACTGCTTCTTCTTTTTCTTAGTTGCTCTGACTGATATCTTTTTCTCTCTTGGATCATCTTTTGTAGTTATTAGTGGAAAACAAATGTTGCATTCATTTATAGTGCATTACAAAGTCAGCTGATTTGGCTCTAGTTGAAAACATATGGCTAGCAATAGACTACAGTTTAAATATATCCACAAATCTTTTTTGGCCTTACCCCTCATTTAAAGTATCCCAAGCAAAGAAAGACACTGTTATTTTACGTCTAATATTGCCCCAGTCAAGACAGGGAGATCTAGTCTGCAGTAAAGAGCAGATTATTATTGAACAGCTGATTTTATTGCCAAGACACAAGAGGGGTTTTTATAGAGGGTGACAGATGAAGGGAAGTGATAGAGGTAATTGTTAGAAGGAGGAAAATAAGTAAAGATTGAAAATGAAAAGAGGGGAAAAGCCAACTGTCTGCCTGTTACTGAGTGCCAACTGTGAGGTGCAATATAATAAAGGAGACTGTTTCTACTGAAAGGCTTTATTGTTCCTGCTGCCTGCAGAGTCCAAAGTACTGAAAGAGAGGTGTGTGTTCACTGCGCACTTTTTTTCCCTTTTTTTTTTTTTTGCAGCACAACATTCATATAGATGTAGGACTACAAGCCACTGACCTCCCTCATGCTTTGGCATTGACAGTGCCGTAAGATGTTATTGGGGAATTTTCTGAAACAATAGCAAGTCTGTCTCATTAATTTCCGCAAATCCAATACATCAGGAGACCGAGAAAAAAAACATTATAGAAGCCATGTGTAAACCAGATTGGGGAAAAAGCAACACTGTAAATCTCTAAATAACTTGTAATTTCATTTATCTATTACTGTGTAAGTCAATATTGATACCAGAAGCCAACAATCGCTCATTTTGTGAGGCTGGATTCGCTCACAAGTGACACTGTTGTAAGAACTGATGTGCTCATCCATTCATCCATCTTCATCACTGTCGGCTCATTAGTCCCTCACAATGAAGAGATCTCATTCAGTGACACTGTCTGCCAGTGTGGAGGGAGCGAGGAAGAGTGTGAGCAAGCAAGCGAGTGTGTGAGTGCTGGATGTGTATATGTGTGTGTGAGCTGGCAGTGCCACAGACATGGAGAGTTTGCGCTTGGCTTGGCAGTGCGCAAAGCATATCTCTATCTTGCACACACAGTATTCATCACACAAGGTCAGAGATTATGTGTGTGTGTGTGTTTGTGTGTGCGGGCGCGCTTTGGATACTGTCCCTGAGTCTTGCTGTAATGTGAAGAGATTATAGTGTTGCCATAATGGAGGCTGGCATTAGCATAGCCTGGCAGGAGCATCAATCTGAGTCTGACTAAAAATACCTCAGACAGCAGTGTGTGTGTGTGTGTGTGTGTGTGTGTGTGTGTGTGTGTGTGTGTGTTTGTGCATGGGGGCATCCCTGGCATAAGCACACGTGTACTAGCAGTGCATATTTCTAAATTTGTTACTTCTCTGTCTTTATTTTCAGGTCTATGTGTCCATGTTTAATGTTTATGGCCCATCTTTGATGTGAGAGTTCAGCTTGATCATCCTTCAGAGTCCCAAGAGAACGACGTTACGCTGATTATTGAGACTCTAAAAAGAAGACTGGAAGAGAAAAAAAATAGAAGCCAACACTTTTTCAAGGATCCTTCCAATAAATCCTTAAAAGGCCGGTCCCTGCTTCTGTCACACAGATTCTGAAGACTGAATCAGAACCAGGACACAACTATAGCTTCTATTAATAAATTAAAACTTAAATAAATAAATTGACAGACTCTGCTTTTGAAAGAAAGGAGTTTGCTTTACGTTTGCCAAAATGATGACTATGATGATGATGGTGGTGGCCACGATGGTCACCTGCAGCTCTCTGTTCCTGCTGGGGCTGGCCGCTGCCCATGTGTCCTCCAGCACCGTGACCCGCACCTCCTCTTCAGCTTCTTCTTCTTCTTCCTCCTCCTCTTCATCATCCACTTCACCGCGCATGAAGTTATCATATAAAGGTAAGAACAAAAGCTTTGATGATAAAAGTTCTGGTTCTTTCTAAAAAAAAAAAAAAGGCAATTTCTCTCTTCCACTGCCCGTAATAGTTAGAAAAGTATCTACACAAACCACACGCACGCACACACCCCACTTTCTCTGTTTCATGTAATATTCAGCTTTATCCTTTTGAAAGTATATGCAGCTGAACAGTAGCCAACTGTAATTTGTGGCTGCTGTGATTCACAGCCATAGACACACACACACACAACTTAAACACACACACACACAACTTAAACACGCAGTAGCACGGTTTTGTGTTTCATCTTGGGTATTGTATGTTAGAAGAAGGCAGCTCAATGCCCAACACAGCCACATAAACCAAGCTGGTAATTACAGCCTGAATGAACTGGCCAAGGCCATGAAGCTGACTGCAGACCGTTTGCACAGCTGAGACATGTACCCGCCTGAATTTGGGCTGAAGGTAACTTGAAGCATTTATTATGAGAAGACTTAAGACTATTCTAGTTTTATTTGAAACACAAATGACAAATGAGTGTCAACAGTGAGAGTTTCTTGGTTCCTAATTAGGCTGTAGGCGGTTATTAAAATACTACTTTGACATAAAAGTAGAGTCCTATAAACAATTTTAGCCACTTTAGCAATGAAGCTAAATTGCTGATGCCTTTCTGTGTGTTTGGTAATGTTGCTGTTGTTAGGATTTTAGCTAACATAAACATAATATGTTAAACATTAAAAACAAGCGTTTCACAATGACATGCTGTACAGCTGATCTATCTGAGAGTATATTAATTAATACTACATTTTTTGTTTTTAGTTAGCAATGCTGCATTAAATGGCATTTTTGACTGCTGCTTTTTATTGAGTAGAAAGCATTATTACTTGTTTAAAGGATGAAGTAACCATTACTTAACTCAACTACTTAAAGTAGATTTGGGCTGTCAAATAATATTTTCTTGACAGATATTCTGTACCGGCACTCAAGAAAGGAGCAGTAAAATATTAAACACCAATACACTTGGATCTTAAAGTAAAAGTAACTGCATTTAGCAGAAGGCAGGTATCATACACATGTTTTTAACACACTATGTCCTCAAGCCCAGGGTTATTGCCACCACAGTATGGTGGGGCTGAATAAAAGTCCCTGATGTCATGCTGGTGGCTATTGGGTGGCGTCAAAGACTTAATTAAAGTTATAAATTCACATTAGAACAATGGCAGACTAATAAAAGACATTTTAATGTCGAAGTGAGGAGGGCTTTGGTCTTGTTTTCTTAAGCTCCCAGTTTGAGCTGAGCACGTAGGGGAGGATGTAGTCCCTTTATTTCTTAGTTTCCTCAAGCCAAGAACACAGTTTTTAATTCTTTTTTTTTTCCATTAAGCTTGGGGTGACTATTATAGTTTAAATTTACAAATACAAGCTAAATTTTCCTGGGCACTGTTCCTCTAGAACTTTTTCTTGCCAGTTTGGAAATGGTAAAGACATTCAGTTTTTCCACTGAAACTAATATAGTGTCATTACTGTCAGAGGATTTCATCCTGCTCGTTTCACAAGTCACTGGCCTTAGGACACAGCTCAGAAATATACTGAAATACATAAGATGTTGAGGTTTTTTTTTTAGCAGCGTGACTTGTGGAAGCCCTGTAGCCAACTAACTGATGTGGATCTGAAGACGCTGATGACAGCTTTGAACGCAAAGATTTTATGATTCTTTACTTACTTTCTGAAGAACATAATTAATAAAAAAGTTTACTTCACTATACAACAAAAAAGACAAGTAAAGAACAAAAGACTGGTCCAAAACTAAAGCCCCTTCAAAGTTATCCGAGTTATCTCTTTTCTGTATGTCAACACATAAGAACATTTCTCCATAAATACAGGCAAACACATTGGCACCTACACACTAACACAAATGCATAGGCGGGTTCTCCCATACTTAATAGCTTTATCTTTAAGTTATGTGGAAATCATCGACCCATATCAGTGTTTGACTGAGGTCCACCCTGTAAATCTACATTTTCAGAGTTGCAGCAGTTCCACGGAGTGCGACGGTTTGAGCTGGAGCGTTCCTGCTGCTTTAGCGCCCTGCTGTTGGATGAAGAGAGGGGTCGACTGTTTGTGGGAGCCAAGAACTTCCTGCTGTCTCTGTCGTTGGACAACATCGCCAAACAAGAACACAAGGTTGGCCAGAAACAACCCCCAAAACCAAACTTGTACAGCTGTAAAACATGTGGGAGTGTGAGCGGTCTGTTGATCAAAACTAAGTTACTGCTGCTGAGATTTCAACATTTTCAACTCTGTGTTTTAACGGTTGTGAGTAGATTTAATTTTAGATTCTCATGTGCACAAGGCTTTTTAAAAAGTTATCCATAAAATAAGGAACTGTTTTATAAACACAGCATTTCCCCTGGTAATACACAAACCATTACCAGAAGAGATAAATCTGAACAACTCCAAATACATTTGCCATGAAAATATTTTGTGACCTTTTGTTAACTATCTTAGGTGATTATACTGGCAGCAGATGAAAGTGAGTCATTCTTACAACCACTGCAACATTGTTTACTTTCTAAGAATCATTTATTATTTTGACTCACAAAGTTAGTCACCTGTGGTTTGTATTCTTGCATTCCTGAAGGAAATATTCAGAAGTGTGGAAACATTTTTACAAACACACCCTTTAGAAAATAACATCCGTGCACATATGAGTCTACTTAAGTGTCTGACCTGAGGGGAAAAGAGAAGTGTTGTAGCCATAGAGGAAGGTAGAAAATCAAAGAGCTGGACGGAGATAAGAAAAAAACATTTATGCAAAAGAGGTTATGATTCATATCAAAAAGGTACACTTTGTGAGGCCTTTGCCTTTGGAGTATAATCAGAGCTGCAAAAAGACTTGAGTATACAGTACACACACTGGCAAAAGAACTGAAATGTATAGACACTAGAGTTACACACAAAAAAAGCCCACAAAACACATCTGTCCACAGCTGCTTGGAGTAAATTGCAAGTTTCTATCTGTCAGATATGAAACCTCTGTTGGTTTTAGGTAGATGAGGGAGTTTGATTTATGAGCTGGGTGTGCAGATTCACTGTAGCTCTCCCTGTTTTTTTGGGTTGTTTTTTTTTGCAATGTTGTTGAATGGCTGCAGGATAAAATAGGTTAGAAAGAAAGAGATGGATCAAACTGTTCTTACACTTGATGGTTTAAGTCCTGATATTATGAGGAAATGCATCTCTGGTACACTCTAAATAATCGAATTTAGCCAAATTAAAAATCCAGAGTAAATTTACAAGATGGACTGATCTTTGTCTGCCTGTTTCAGATCTATTGGCCTGCCCCTGTTGACTGGAGGGAGGAGTGTAACTGGGCTGGCAAAGACATCACTGTAAGTGATCACACCACACGTCACCTTAGCCCTGTGATTTCATGTTTTCATTTTTACCAGAGAAATAAAAATTGATGTGGGTACTGTGATATCACCTGGTAAAGCCCTGTTTTCAAGCCTTCCAATAAATGTTTTTGCTGTCACCAGCTTCGTTGAAAAAAGGAAGGGCGGGTCTGACTGTGAAACCACGCGCTCATTCACTAATGACTTGTGATTGACAGCTAGTTAACCAATGAGCTTGTAGTTTCATACCAAAGATAATCCATAATTCTGAAGCATAGAAGGACTGAGATTTGCAAGGTAGACTTCATTTTTTATTCAGTATAACACAAAACAAGTGACCGGGAACATAAACAAGGCAGGAAATTGTTTACAGTGGTAAAGACAGAGAGCTGTTTCCAGATAGGCTTCAATGGGGCTGGAAGTCCTTTTGCAACCACAGCTATCACCATCCAGAAGCCTCAGATAGAACGATAGAAAGTTTTTAAGAACACCAGGTATTGGCTTTATTGGCCCGACCCCACAGCTACGCCTGTGTTTTATCTTGTCTGTGATCTCTGCTTTGATTTATAAAAGTTTACAGCTGATACAGTTCAGATGTGGAACCTGAAAGTTTTTAGATGTGTGTTGTCATCATCCTATGCAATAATACACACTGCATTATTATTATTATTATTATTATTATTATTATTATTATTATTATTATTATTACTCAAGGAATATTTAACTACAACCTGTTAGCTAAATTGAGTTTTTATGAAACATAATGCATCATAACATCCACTTTAACCATGTCTCATTTTACATACAGTTCAATAAGCATTGCTACTGAGCTCCAAGTGCAGAATGTAAGCGTCCACTCCTACCCAGCCTAACACAATGCTACCTTTTAATCCACTCGAGTCATGGGAGTCATCACAAGACAGAAACACCACATTTAAACAGATAACATGTAATAATAGGTGCAGCACTCCTACTTTTGGACCTGCCATGTGGTGAGATTACTTCCTCCAAATTTGTTTCTTTGAGCCCTATTTGAATGATATCCACACCGTCTGATGTAGAGCTCACACTCAGTGTTTACACACACACTGTCTAACCAGACAGGTTTGGGATCAATGCAAACATTTCATTTTTTAAATGTCACTTAAATATTAAACTTTGTATTGCACTGGGTTAGTGAATCAGAGAAACTCAGTTGGAAACACAGTTCTTGCTGAAGATCTTTGATATATTCACTATGAGAACAACTCACTGGGTTCTTCCTCACTGGAAGAATATGTGCAGCAGAAAATAACAGTTACATACCTTCGCTTTGACGATATGATGCAATGCAGTGAGGTCACAGAAATCTAAATATTGACCCGTTGCTTGTAAAAATGTGGCTCCTTACATTAGGTTGAATTGGATGTTTATTATCTATATGAGGATGGACGGACTGAGTGAGGTTAATAAAGAGCATCTTGGACATGACCTGCAGCAGTAGCAATAAGATGCAGATTAACAGGAAATGAAGCAAAACCCTGATTGTTAAAGTGTTTCTATTTGGATGATTTGATCTGATTCTGATTCCGTTCTGAGATGACTGCATGCACAAAGTCTCCATGACTGAACTCACAGCAGAGTTTACCAAAAGATACGCCACCATCAAGTTCCCTTGACTTATTATTTAAGTGCCAAAAAAAGATTTTCTGTGTAATGTTCTGCATGTGGATGTAGTGTGGGCAGGGGGGGCTTGGCTTCACTGACCAACATGTAGAGGCCACCAAGAACCTATAGACCACCCAAGATTACAATTAGATAACTGTACAGGTCAGTGTGTGTGTAGGTACTTCGTGGCTTTAACTGTTTAAAACAGTAACATCACATCTGCTTATGCAGATATACCATAAATGTGTCTATTTATAATGTATTTATACTCAAGTGTTTGACAGTGTCTGTGTGTACATTTATCCCTGTATGTGTAAGTTTCCAGTGTGTGTGTCTAATGTCTGTGAATGTGTCTTTATGTGTGTGTAAAACAAACCCGTCATCAGTGTGATTATACAGCTGTAGCAGACAGACAACGGGCTCCATTCATACAAAAATCCAGGCTCTAATTTCACCTGACCAGGAGTCTGTGTGTGTGTCTGTCTGTGCATGAGTGTGTTCAGTTTTCTGTATGCATATGTCCTGTTCGAAAGTGCGAGTAACTGTGGAGACTGTGAGTGATGAAGAGAATTAATGTAATGAAGAAGATAATGAGTTATTGTGGGAGAAAGAAAGTGATAAGACAAAAGTTCAAAGAAAATGACAGATTTTGCATTAAAGTAGTTTTTTTACTCACATTTCTATCCTTTGAAATGTTATTTTTATCCTCTTTTATCCTTTTCTGTGTGAAAACTCACCCAAACCTCCACCACGCACTATTGACCCTAATTACAGAGAAATGTGTTTTCTATAGGAAGAGGTCAAAAGCTCTCCCTGCCACTTGATCTCTTCCCTCCACTCATTTTCCATGTTTGGTCCTTTCTTCATATTCCCTGTCCTCATCTAATATTGTTATTTACAACCCTCCAGTCCTTCAAACAGTAAAACCACCTTGCATGTGCCAGCACACTAAGACAAACACAGACACATGCAGATAAACAGAATTAGAGCGGGGCAGTAAACAGTTGACAGTTTACCCAGACACTTGGTCTGACTCAGCACTCTGAGGCGTCACTGTAAGGCCGGAGTCATATTCAGAACCGCAGAAGTGATAGATTGTGTGTTTATGCTGTCATTTCAGTACCCACTTGGTAACTTTCAGTGCCTTCCAAGACCCATTAATAAATCAATTGGTAGGAATTAATAATAAAAATCCTTTTCTTCTTTCATAAGTATATCATTCAAAGCAATTTCTTATGTAAAATGCTCTGTGGAAGATGCATTAATCACAATTGTAAATCAAAATTGATTTTTTTAAAGGTATCCAAGAAGCTGCATGTTGCACAATGAGTTCTGGGACATTATGAATTAGATTATGAATGAAGTCCAATAGCTCAATGGGAAGAATTAATTTAAAAAGGAGAACTCTTCCAAATACTCATGTTAGTCTTTCTGGAAGACACAAACTGAATTGTGTTAATCTTTAACTACTGAGAGAAGAAGCTCAGTGACCACCAAGTATGTCTGAAACCACCAAAGAACATTTTCTTTTCCAGCATTGTGTAGACGATCACTGTGCAGGAATTCACACACAAACAACGGTGAAAAGAATTGGAAACAAATGGAAAGAAGGCACCCTCTTATGTATATCACTTAGAGAGTCAGATTCCAGAAATCAGTCCATTTTTAGGAGAAATGTGGCCTGCCAGTATCCCCTGATACTGCATTGTCCCGTTTCACAGAGATGATCAAAGGCATTCCTATGTTATTACACTGTGATATGTTGTGTATCTAATGAACATCACCATTCCCATCAAGTCAAACCCTCTCTGCCATTAACTTTATTAAAGCTTCCTGCATCTCTTGGAATCTTTGCTTTTACACAAATTCAAACAGTTTGTTCTGGTTTTAACCAAATGGAAAATACAAGCTTCCAGCAGCTTTTATAACAGCCTAGTTGTTTTTTAAAGTTAAGTGACCTCCAGAAACCATGTCATGTCTTAGATGGAGTGCATCTAGGCACCCTGGTAACTTAGCCAGTGGAACGAGCTAGCCAAATAGCGTTGGTGCCTCAGCCTAACCAAACAACAAGTGAAAGCAAAACATAAAAATGGTCTCACAGTCAACACTCCAGTCTCAGTGAAAAGTCAGTGATGTTTCTACTTCCACACTCTTCCTGATCTCTCTGATCGTATTATGGATTTTCTTTGTATTTCAAAAGCAAACTACCCTGTATATATATTTAAATAATCCTTATATGAAGTGTTTCAGATTTTCAGGACAAATGACAAAATCTGATTTAGTTCAAGGACATCCTGGTAGATTTAATTTTATGCACCTGACAAACACAAAAATAGCCACTGAACCAGAACACGTTACACTTCACATAAAATGCTCAAAGAAGCATAGTTTATATGATAGCAATCGATATGGAGCCAAATACCATAAACAGAGCACAGATAGTGGCTAAAATACTACATTAATGCTGTAAATCAGGTTAATCATCTACAGAAGGAACAAAGAGAAACAGAGAAAAAGACATCTACAGCAGAACAATGCAGCATTATAAAACGTGAAGGCAAGACTTAGAGCTCAAGCTGCTGTGAGGTCACAGCCCTCATTTTGCTCACTGTTTCAACTAATGAGTCAGTGGCATGTCAAAGGTTGTCCGGGGAACCCGTTAACCCCCCCACACACACACACACCCAACCCTTCCACACACCCAAACCCTTCTGTATGTATGCACACACACACACACACACACTGATCAGACAATGAGAAAAAGTGATTGCTGTCATCATTTCACCTCATTCTTTTTGTATCTTTTCAGGGTCGCTCATGCATCTTTTCCCTACCCTCCTGATCTCTCTCCTTTGTCACATCAAAGACTTTTCTCTGTCAGCCTCCTGCTCTGCTGAGTGCCTCACCTTTCTCTGCCCCCTGAGACACACACACACATATCTATAACCTTCAGTGGTTTAGAACAAAGGCTTGCCATTCAGCCTTTAAAACCTACCAGGGGATTAGAGATGGAGTTGTTGTGTGAATACACAAGTTTACTTGTTGTAGTGTATACACGCACACATAAAGGTGTTTAACCAATCGATTGGCTGACTAAACTGTTGCCGTGCAGGAGACCTGGAAAACAGCAGGCCAAACAATTCACTTTCTATGAACGCTTACACAGAAACTGATATTCTGCATATTTACTCCAAAAATGATTAATTTGTCTTTTAATTGTCCAAATGATCCAGGCTCTGAGCTGTTTGCATTATGACTGTCTGCTGTTGACAGTGAGATTCATGTCTTTCCAAACCTTTAGATCCACCAATACTCACAACAATCGACAGACAGATGTTACAGTGACCTGTCTGGGGAGAAGTAGACAAGCGCAAAATGGAAAGATAAAAGCTTAAATGTGTGCTACAGTGTGTGAATATATAAGAAACAAACAATGTACTGATGACATGTTGTTTTGAACACTTTCGTAATCACAATACAGAAAATCATTTATAAAAATTCATATTCAATATAAATCTGTGGTGTGAGATTCTCATGATAATGGCAATAATTGTAGTATCCACAGCAGTCCACTTATAGTATCATCTCTTTATGGGCTAATCACCTCAAAGCGTGGTGTTTGAAGACAGGAAGAAAAATGTACCATCCATTATCTTAGTATACAGTAAATCTTTTTTTCCAGCACTCTCTTGAGATCCATCTCAGTGTAACCTGATTCTGAGATGAACAGATGTCTCTATGAATCAATAACATGCTTGCTTGTTATTAGAAAGAAGCCAGGATAATGGAAATAAGAAGACATAGAACAAAGATTAAAATGGTTTGAAAAGATATAAGTCTGGCAAAAATAAAATGGATAATGAAATATAAGTTTATCTTATTTCTTTATGTAACTATTTTGCATTCTTTTCTATAAATGTATACATATAAGTCAAAGAAACTTGACAGCAAGGTTATTATAGAGATTGGTGATATTATAGCAGTTTAGGAAACATGGTTAAATTACGTGTGGATATTCATTTGACCATTTGATTGTTAGTCAGTCGTATTAACCAGGACACACATGATGTCAAACCTGTGAGTAGGAGATGGATCTGGGGACATCATAGACTAAATGGCAGACAGCTATTTACTGTATTTAAAGGTAAACACTACCACTATGTCAGGCTTGGAAAAAAGGGCATTGTATTTCATGCAAGAATTGTGTTTCAGTAGTGTACCTAACACTCTGTCTCAGAATTTGTAGAGTGCCAATCACAAAACAGTTTCCTTCCTAAAGCTTCCTAAAGATCAGCCTTTAAGTTAATAATAAGTACTATATGTGTGTGTGTCTTTCAGTCTGACTGCGTGAACTACGTGAAGATTGTACACCACTATAACCGCACCCACTTATACGCCTGTGGAACGGGTGCTTTCCACCCCACCTGTGCCTTTGTCGAGGTGGGACACAGGATGGAGGTGAGGAATGTACAAAACACAACCTACACGACACTCACTATGCAACAGTGTAACAAGAAAGTCTAAAAATATTATACAATGTCTTTATCTGTTCTCATCTGCTGAAAATAAGATGTTTCAAACACAGAAACTTCAGTCCTCTGCCAACCAATTTAGTCTCTATTCAGTGTACCTGTCGACAGACCCTTAAAATATGGTCTTAAGTGTATAAAGAATTTGGAATTTACATCTACTTTACAACAAATCTCAAAAATAAAATTAAACCCCCAATTTATAGAAGGACTATGCAAATATAATCACGCTGTAAATTCCCTTCCCTCCTGTGTCCATCAGGACCACGTGTTCAGGATTGACCCCTCTGAAGTGGAGGACGGGAAAGGAAAGAGTCCGTATGATCCTCGACACAACGCTGCATCTGTGCTCGTCGGTAATTGAACCCATGCAAACTAATATGAGATGACTGAATAAGAACGTTCATTTAATGGGTCTTGAAATTGGGCTGATTTCACGTACTACAAATATATTATCCAAACAGTCGTTGACTAATTCTGTCTCCTAGGTGATGAGCTGTATGCAGGCGTGGCCACAGATTTAATGGGAAGGGACTTCACCATCTTCAGAAGCCTGGGGAAACGCCCCTCTATCCGCACTGAACAGCATGATTCAAGATGGCTTAATGGTGCACTTTTGTCTTTTTTTTTTTATCAGATTATGTGTTGAGACGACTCACATGAAGAATTACACTGTGTTGATAGGAAAGGCTATTTTTGACAAATTTTTTTCTTTGATTTTCTTTACCAGAACCAAAGTTTGTTGGGTCCTTTTGGGTCCCTGAAAGTGAGAACCCAGATGACGATAAGGTCTTTTTCTTCTTCCGGGAGACAGCGGTTGAGGCTCAAGGGTTGGGAAAATCTACCTACTCCAGAATCGGACAGCTGTGCAGGGTAAAATCCAGCAGCAATTCCAGCTGGATTGTTGACAAATATAAATAAAATATCCTCTTAAATTTATCTTGGCTATTTTTTCTCCAATCAGAATGATATGGGCGGTCAGCGAAGCCTGGTGAACAAGTGGACAACATTTCTGAAGACCCGTCTGATCTGCTCGGTACCAGGAGCTGATGGCAGCGACACATACTTCGATGAGCTGCGTAAGTACAGCTGTGCAAACTGTCAGAAGTACAAGTATGTACTGTGTGAACTATTTTAAGATGAAAATTGTGCTGAGTAAAAATATGATATAACATAAATGAAGTAAACAAAGCTTTCACTCGACATCCTCCTCCTGTTAGGTTGTTTGCCACTTTCACCAAAAAACTTTGGTCATTACTAACGTTTTGTTTTTCCTGTCACCGCTTCTAAGATATTGTGCATTATAATCTGGTAGTCTCACTTTTCAGTAGACAGAGAACAGAAAAGCAAAAAAAAAAAGTGCTGATTTTCCTTTTTGGATTTTTATCCAGAAGGACATTCTGCGGGCAAATGGAGAAAAGGTCCTGGAACGCATAATAAAAAAAAAAGGATTTCTGACCTCAATTGTAGATTACCATTCAGTCTAACATTCCTGCAGACTTGGAGCAAGCATGAGTGACAGATTAATTGGTAATAGATTCTGGCCTGATCGAAAGCCAATGTTTTTGCTGTGGGTTTAGAGAAAGTTAGAGGCTCGTCTCTGGTAACTCTTCATATGACAAAAACCTATAATGTGTTTTCAGGAGATGAAATCCAGAAGTGAGACTAAATTTATAAAGCATATCAAATGACAAAGAAACCACAATTTTCCTGTAAACCCATATGAATTTCCACCGAGAAGTTATACTTTTCATTATATATATATATGTATATATGTGTATATTTTTAAAAGCCTTTTCTAAAGACTGTCCTGTACACCTTGCACACCAAGCACACATTCCCAGTTTTGTGGTCTGTTTAAGCTCCAAAACCTTCCATATCTTCCTCTGACATGACGGTGCCACTCTTTCAACCCCTATCCTTTGGCTCCAGGAGGAGATTTATGAGTTTGGCGCATAGACGCCAATTTCTAACCACATTTTGCAGTTGTAATAAAATGAATGTCTGGTGAAATATAGTGTGATTCTATGAGGGATCCTTGGACTTAGAGGACAAATGTAAATCATGTTTGTTCCTCTGGAAAAAATGACCCTTTTTTGAACCCATCCTCAGAGCAGTGTCCAGTACTGACCCATACCCATAAGAAGTTATAAAATGCAAGTCAAGCTGATGAGTATCCTAAGAGCAATGTTAGGCACATTTTTTGCCTTTTAAAGCTATCTGTGAATACAAAATGGACATAGCTGTGATGTTTGGTAGTTTGGCACTCCTCATCTTGTTTTTTTGTTTTTTTATAAACTGAAATATTCCTGTTTATAATAAATTTAGCATTAACCCGCAGTGCAAAAACTAATTGTGGAAGTTATTCCATCAGAGAATAGACACTAACAGTGAGTCTGTCATGAAGATCAGAAGAGCTCAGTATCACTTTAGCACAAAGTCAGAGTTTTTATCAGAGACCTGACATTCAAACATGATTTACAGTCGACATTCAGAATTTTTCTGTTGTAATTTTTAAAATCAGCAATAGTGCTTTAAAATATAAACAATAAAGCATTTAGGAACCTTTTTATGGGGTTTTCACCTTCATAATGAGTCAGTTAGGTGTAATAAAAAGACATGCAGGCCAGTTATTTAGCTAACTATACCTGAAATGACCAGAGATTTCTTTCAAATAAAAAACAAGTGGCTTTTGGTTTGTTTCACTCTATCTGGAATTCAGGATTTACTTTTACCAAAATGAGAAATTACTTATACGTATCACTAAAATTATTATTGGAATATATTTTTAAAAGAAGGAGCTATTTGTTGTTATGCAACGTCTCCCCGAACCTGCAGTCATGTGGTTTGCTGAGCAGCTGCACGAGTTTCAGCTCTCAAGATGTTTCCGATAGAGCTTTCTAGGCTGTATCTGTGGGCTATAATATGATCTGTCTTTGTGCTTATCTCATGACATAGTGAAAGGAAAAGTAAGTGGTTTAGGCTAAAGTCTAAATTACCCTTTGGCCACATCTGTCCATCACATTCCCTCATGAACTTTCAGTCTCTTGTCTTGACCTTGATTTTTTCCAACTATATCCATGTAAAAATAAATAATTGTTAATCTGAAGTTTTTGTTCTATTAAAGTATGTGCACCATGTTATGTCTTTAGAAGCAGGAATTTCATTGAAGTACATGGAAACACATTTTGTGGCTCAAGACTAAGAAATACGCTCTTGTTTATTATGGAGATCTCAAACCTGACAAGTGAAGCAAAAACTTAATGAAACTCAGTTTGTTTAAAAGATTTTTATAAGCTGCATGAACCTGTGGTGGATTTTGTTCCATGTCATGACCCTCAGTTATCAGTAACATGTCTCGTTAAGGTTCTTAGACATGGCCAAAGGGTTTTGTTTATCTTTCACTCAACCTTTGACCGTTAGTCTACTGCCACCTGACCAGTGTGTGTGTGTGTGTGCATCCTTAGGCGATGTTTTCCTGCTGCAGACGAGAGACAGAAAGAACCCTCTGGTTTACACCGTCTTCTCCACTTCCAGGTCAGAATCTGTTCATATTACGTGTGTATGTTTGTGCATGTCTGTGTGTGAGGAGAGACGTTTTTGTGTATTTTGCGTGTTTTTGTTGCATCTAACCCAACTCCCTCTGTCCACCAGCAGCAGTGTATTTAAAGGCTCAGCTGTGTGTCTCTACTCCATGAATGACATCCGGAGGGCCTTCCTGGGGCCATTTGCTCACAAAGAGGGGCCCAACTACCAGTGGGTCCCCTTCCAGGGAAAAGTGCCCTATCCCCGCCCCGGAATGGTATGTCAGTAATCATAAAAGCGCATCAGCGTCACAGTATCTAGAGTTTCCAGCAGTGCAGTGTTGGCTGATCAAGTAAATGTACACATATTTGCGTAATTGTGAGAAACTTTTACTTGGAAGTGTATATTTTAGATTACGTTAATGTTTAGTTATTACTTAAAATCTGATTTTAAGTACAAAACATATATACATCCTATAATATATAACACATTGCCATAGATATAATGACCCAATAAATTAATAATGCTAGACCATCACATACAGTGTAATATTCTTTAGTATGTCTTCAGTGTTGAATTTGTTGCCTCAAACTAAAACTCAAAACAAAACAAAAAAGTTGTAAAAAAATGGCCTCATAGTCACATTGAGACAGTATTCAATATTAAATATTTTTTTCTTCCAAACCCCCTTTCCTTTCAATCAATATGTGCTCATTATGGGCCTTTCCATTCAGCTAAGCACACAAGTGTAGCATCAGCAGGATTTGTTATGCAGAGCTTCAGCTGTTACTGCTGCTGGAGAACAATCCCTATTGTATGAATGCAGAATACTAATTGTATTTGGCCTATAGAAAACCCTCCCTCACGCCATCATTACCTCGCTGGATTGTAAAATTAGCAGAACAAATCAGATTTTAAGAACGCGATCATGCTTACAAGTACATTTACGCAAAAAGTGCACATAATGCACATTCTGATTTAAAATGCTTAACCCACAAAAAAAAACAAAAAAACAGTGTGGCTCAATAAAGTGCAAATTAGTAAAAAGAAAAACGTGGAATTGTATGAGAATAGACGCTGCATGATGCTAAATTGAGTTTTCAGCATTTAGAAAATCCAGGACTGGAATTTTAATTAAAGAGGGTGGCTGGACTCTGACCTGGTGTAAATCTCTTTTAAGTCCTTGAGACCCATCACACCATAATCACCTCTCTGTTGAACTGTGCTTTGTGTACTTCAGGTCAGCTAAAGTGCTGAGAAGTTCGGCATTTAATTTCAGTTTACATCCAGAAAGACAAAACAAGTTTACTCATCAAATATCAGTCATTGTGCAATGACCGAGTCCAAACATAGTAAATAGGAGAGCACTGACTCAGAGTCAGCTGTTTTTTGCAGAGCTTTACAGCAGCCGCATGCATGCACGTTCACGCATTCAGGTCCTGAGAGAAAATGTGTACTCACAGTAGTTTCACTGTAGTAGTAGTTTTTTAAAATCCTCTTTTTATTTGTATCCCCACTGATGTTCAGTAAAGTGCACTAACCTCAATGTAAACTTTTTAAGTTCCCAAAATACTAATTCGATTTTTTCTGCCCTTCTTTAGTGCCCCAGCAAGACATTCGGCAGCTTTGAGTCAACAAAGGGTTTCCCAGATGATGTGATTCAGTTCGCGCGTCACCACCCTCTAATGTACAACCCGGTCTACCCTATGAGCCGAAGGCCCATCTTCATCAGGACCAATGTGGACTACAGCTTTACACAGATCGCTGTGGACAGAGTCAATGCTGCTGATGGACAGTACGATGTCATGTTCATTGGCACAGGTGAATGAGCAGTAATCATTTCTAACTCTAGGGTTAAACAGGAAAATGATGAAATTAGTTATTAAGCGGTTGTGTGTGTGAAATTTCAGATAAAGGGACAGTACTAAAGGTGATCAGTGTCCCCAAGGAGAGCTGGAACAACATGGAGGAACTTTTACTGGAGGAGTTGGAAGTTTTCAAAGTAAGAAAACTGTGTACATGAAAGTACATGTATTTAGCACATTTAGTCATCATGACATGTTGTATTCTTACAAGCATTAAATCTCAATGAAGTGTTGAAATTAATGGATCATTCAAACTTGCATGCCTTTTATTAAGTGTACTGTACTCCCTGGACACGACCTAAAGAGGAAAACAAAGGATAGTTTGAAAGAACATTGTATACATATGCATGTATACATCCATTGTTTATTGTATTATTGTAGTATATTTACCTTACGATATAAAGCACCTTGAAGTTTTGATTTGGTGCCATATAAATAAAATTGAACTACATACTGATAATTTTGGTCAAATCTAAAAAGTATGTTATTTAGTTTGGTACATCTCTTCTCCTTCCCAGGACGCCTCATCTATCATCAACATGCAGATCTCCTCAAAGCGGGTATGCTTGTTTAATTCTTAAAAGCCCCAAAATCATGTTTTTAAGAGTATGTCAAACAGTGCAGCACTGTATTATCTTTAGTCAATTATTTCCTCTTCACAGTGGAAATGGTTGACATATCTAGACTTAGAAATTAATCGACCTGTTTATCTGCACAGCAATATATTTATATGCCCCGAAAGAGCAATATAGTATCTGAGGCTGTACTAAATCAGAATGGTGATGATGGATAATGCACAATATAACCAAAGAGAGCCAACATAAATTTCCAAAATGGACACATGGATGGTATTTCTGGCACATAAGCTGTTGTGCTGTTTCAGAATAAAGCATGTTTTAAATGCTTCTCTTTGCTTGCTTTGTTTTCACAGCAACAGCTGTATGTCGGCTCTGACACAGGCCTTGCCCAGATTCCACTTCACCGCTGCAGTGTATACGGGAAGGCCTGCGCTGAGTGTTGCCTGGCCAGAGACCCGTACTGTGCCTGGGATGGAACTTCCTGTACTCGCTACCTGCCAAACACAAAGAGGTCTTTGACATTTACATGACCTATAAAAGAAAAAAGTGAATTTGCAAATACTGTCGTGCAATAAAACATTCCTTTTCTTAAACTAAAATGTCAAACTTGTTACAGACGTTTTCGCCGCCAGGATGTAAGAAATGGAGACCCTAACACTCTGTGCTCAGGAGGTACAATTCTTTCATCATTTCCATATCAACAACAATGATTTTTGTAGACATGTTAGGAAAACTGGTGTTAATCCTATTTGTTAAGACTAAACTATGCAAGCTGTAGTCTGATGCTTCTTGGACTCATTGAGAAGCTTGCCATCTGAAATCTTACAGTCCTTATGCCAAATAATCTAAAATATTCCCCGCTTTCACCCCTGGTGACCTCTGTCCGCTCAGGCCACAATACCAGCATTTTGTTGCTGTCTTGCTGCCACAAAACTGAATCAGGCTAATTGCTCAAACTGAAGGAGCTCCTGAGTAATGCGATTACATCATTTGGCATGCAAGCTGTGTTGTGTAAAACTAATGAAGGTCAGAGTAATTGTCTGTGATGAGATCGGCACTACCCCAAAGTACCATAAAATGCTGATCAGGAGTCTGTTTGGCAGTTTGTAGACCATTGTTTCACCAGTAATCTGTGTAATCCTCTCCCCACCTCTGGCCTTGATGTAGGCTGACTTTTAGGTCTTGTGAGTACTTTTGTGCAATTTTATGGCTGTGGTTAAGATTTAGGGTCATATCACTCATTTTAGAAAACGATATGTCTGCCTGTCTGTTTTTTCTAGTAACATTTCTGGATTCACCATCCTATCCTTCCAGGTTCCTCTGTCTTATTCTAACCTGGAAATGTTTTGTTATTAGCGAGCACATGTGCTGCTCTACATTGACTCATTTTGTGTTTGTCTCTGCTGCCCCCTGCAGATCATCATAAGCATCGTATTGCAGAGAAGAAGCTGTATGGTGTAGAGGGAAGTAGTACTTTCTTAGAGTGCGTCCCCAAATCCCTTCAGGCCAGAATCACCTGGACCTTCCAGAAACATCCACAGAATCGACGAGAAGAGGTGAGAGGAATGGCTGACACTGGCCAGAGATGATGACCGAGAAGTCATTAAAGTATACTGTGGCATTTATAGGTCATGAAAAGGTTTTGTGTGTGTTTGCATCATCAGATCAGATCAGAAATCAAATTCTTTCGTTTATAATTACTTTAGCAAACAACAGCTTTGCAGCTTTAGAGCTTATTTCTTTTCATGAGTTAAGTTGCTTTTTTCTTGCTTATAGGTCCGTCTAGATGATCGCATACTCCAGACAGACAGAGGTCTTCTGATTCGCCGTGTCCTGAAAAGAGATATTGGCATCTACCAGTGCCATGCAATGGAGCATGGCTTCACCCAAACTTTACTAGGCATCACCTTAGAACTCGTACCTTCCACACCTTCATTTGTCTCCAATCTACCCTCCGATGCCCCTGTTCGATTAGACCCCCGCAGCGGAGGCGGACCAACAATGACCAATCAAAAGCTTTGGTACCGGGACTTCATGCAGCTGGTGGACCATCCGAACCTAAACACGGTTGACCAGATTTGCGAGCAGGTTTGGGCACGCAGGAACACCGGTGGTGACCAGGTGGGTAAGGACATCGCACCTCTGCGTCCTGCTGTCCGCCCACCTAATAAGAAATGGAAGCATCTTCAGGAGATAAGGAAGGGGAGAAACCGTCGGACCCACGATGGGAAACCAAACCCGCGTGCGCCACGCAGTGCAGGGGAGTAACGATGTGGAGAAAGAAATGGAGGGAGAAAAGAATGACTGAAACAAGAAGAAAGCAGGAGAACGACAGAGACTGAGAAACCAAGAACTCCTGGAGGTGTTCACGCATACAGATACACCCACATACGCACACACTTACACACACGGACACACACAGCACCTCCTCTATTGTGTATATTTATCTATGGATGCCCCCACTATATGGTAGTCCAATCCCTGAGTCCTCATCCCACTGGCCAGTCCCTGCATGTGCTGCTCTAACTGATTCTGCACGATCCCTTTATAGTTCCACTAGATTAGTGAGTTTACTAGCAGATACATGGGAGTAAACACACCTTTATGTGTGAGCAATAAACTCACTTACCTGTCATGGGTTCATAGCAAAGGATTTCCACATCTCAAAAAATCCAATTACACATTGCGTGTAGTTAGTGCGTCACAGTGTGCACACTGTTTTAAAGGACTGAACCACAGAAACAAATGTAAGCCCAAAAGTTTTGGATTAACTCCAAACGGCTTTTCTGCCCTGAAGATTTCCTGCCAGCGTAGCAAAAGTGTGGACTCTTGTTTTATGCACAATGGGACCGAACGGAGCAACTGGAACGTACAAAAAAGTAACTGGAAACACATTACTATTTGAGTTCAGTTGCACAGGCAGTTAAAAAAAAAGTAACATTTGAAACTTGTTCATAGAAATGAACAACTTCCTGTGGTGTTGTACACAGCAAGTGCATTCATAATAATGTCACCTTTCCATGGTTTTGCGCATATTACATAAAGCTGTCACAAAAGAAAGAGCTGGCATCCTGTGGAGCAGATCATCACAGCAAATAACTGGTTATGTTATATTTTGCTGTTTAAAAAAATATCTTTTGCAGTTTCCTCGGGCAATTTAAGGCATGTCACAGCAAACTAAATTAAACAATGCAAAGCAGGTGGTCATAGTTAGAGAGCAGGCATATTTGGCCTGATGTGATTACATATATTGTTTTACATACTGGCTTGAACCACTGTAGAAAGAGTAGAGGAAAATCTACTCGGAATTCCATGAAATGACAAAAAAATGTTTACAGTACAAAGACACAGATGGAGCACAAAGAAATCAGTTTGAAAGCAAATAATAACCTAAATAAGTATGTCTAAAACTAACCTGGTATCTGTTATGTGTAAAAATACAAGAAATACAGTAGGAAGAGCTCTGACATAATCCAAAACCTCACTCCAAAGATTAAAAATTAGCTGATTTCAACATTTTGTGCGTAAACATTAAGACGAAATGATGACGGGTGTTTTTTGGGTGAGGAGCATTAATATGGCAAGCAGGATGAAGAGGAAAAGGAAAGATATTGGTGGACTCCAAGTATGACAACCTGTGTTTCTGGGCTACGTTGCGGTATATATATTAGCATGATATTTATGAGTGAGTCTATAATTTTAATTTTAATTTTTTTTTTTTTTTTGGTATTCGAAGTGGTACTTCTTTTGTTTTACACTGTTCTTGCATATATTGTTTGTTTTTAAATAGTTATGCAAAGATTTAAATTAAGCGAGTCACAGATTCTTCGTCTAGCACGGTTATAAAAACCACAGCACATTTTCACTGCAACAGAAAAGAAAAACAACTCTATCTGACTTCATACACTGTTGTAATCACTTCTCGGTTTGGTGTTCCGGTCATTAGTATTACTGATTTCTGCTGCTTAATGATGTCATCCCTACATAATGGACAATTAGTACTATAAGGTCTTCCTTCTCATGTCTTAGTCTAATCTCTCGCTGTGTACTGTCTGTATAGAAGTCTTTGTTTGTTGGTTGTCTGTGCTAACATTGTGTGTGTAGCCCTGCCCCTAGTGTCCATTGTGTGTACAGGCTTAGGTGAAGCCTACCTGTGGTACCATACTTTAATGTATCATAGTCTATCCACATGAAAGAAAGTGAAACTGGCTGGCCTTGTAAAATAAAACATGCTTTCTATTTGCGTTCAGTCTGTTTTTCATGATGAATATGTGGTCTGTTTATGTTTCATGGCATAAACTAGACCTGTGAGTGGACTTTTGATGTTTGGATTCATTGTTGCTGTTATTTATATACCTTCTTTATAGAGATGTAATTAACTCGTTAAACTGAACTGAACCGACTGACGCCTGTAAAAGGGACACTCTGCATTTTGACACCACGTCCAGGTAGAGAGGGGTTACTGCATAAGTAAATAAGTAAACTGATTTTCATTGCAGGAGCATGCTGCTAGTCTCTGCATGTGCCAACGCCTGCTTTTTATTCACAGAACTACTTAAGTTGTGCTAATATTAACTCTATAGGGGTTTTCCTTCTTACAAAACTGCATTTTTTTTACACTGGTAGTGATGTCAAACTGCCTGAGTATTCCTTTTAACCCAGCTGTTGTTTTGTGCTTGAAATTGCATGACCAATGTTAGTGGCTAATGCATTTGACAAAGGTGTGGTGGCAAGAAAGAGATGGGGAGAAAGAAAGCACAATGTTGAATATTATTATTATTATTATTCGTATGTATTTATGTGCAAAGATAAGCTGATATGTTGTGGTGGATTTTTATTTTTCCTATACATGTAGATTTACATCTGTGTTGTTTGTGTTTTGCTTAAAATTACTCATCCCCAACAATTTTGTACATTACAGCCAATGGAGAAGCTCTTCCTTAAAGACAGTGTCCACTTAGAGTCTTTGATGTGCACACAGTCCTCCAATCAAATAGTCCTGTTGGATTCCATGTCATGTGACGCACCCCTGTTCAACAGCTCACAAGGAGAAGCTTGTATGTGTGTGTTTGTGTGTGTGTGTGTGTGAGGGTGGGTGAATTGTATGCTTCTGTTTTATGCGTGTGTGTCCGTGTGTGAGTCTCGGGGGGGAAAGCAAAGCTCTGTATATAATGGCAAAGGAACAGCTGTGTGTAGAGTGGTCTGTAGATGAAAGTTCAAAGGTCGAAGGCCAAAGTAACGTGGTGCACTGTAATACTCCCAGTTATTTGTGAAATGTCTTGTCATGTTTTTTTTCATTAACACAATAAAAATATGCAGTTACTTCCAGATTTGCTTGTAATCTCTCCTGTTCAACTCAGAATGAACTGATTTCATGAAGTTACATAAATATGAAAAAACAGGAAGTTAGCTGCACATAAAATAGTAACTAAATGCACTTCACACTACAAAAACATTCAACTACAGGTTCTCAGTACCTCAGAATGATGGTCCAATAAAAATGATGACAATTTTAAAGAACAGAAAAAAGGAAACAACTAAATTTCAAACACTGATTTTTAGTCTCCTTGCAGGTTAAAGAAGTGTAAATATTACATTTTTAAGTGACTTACTTGTTTTATATGTTTTACAGAAAGATACATTTAGATCAATCTTTTATTAAATTTAGTTTATTTCAACTTTTAATTTACCAGGACTGGAGTGTCATCTGTGTTTTGACCACATGGTGGCAGTGTAAGAACGATCATTTTTGTTCTAGTCGCTATGACTACGCTGCTATAAAACTGAGACTCCACATACAGGGCTGGACATTGGAAAGGCTGAATGGTGATGTTTTATATAGTAAAACTGATAGATGTGTAACATTAACAGTGTTAGTCATTCCTAGAAATCGGAAGCAGAAACACATCATTTGGATTTCCAGCTGCCAAAAAGTGAACTATAGCACTCAATAAAAACACACCAACAACAAGCTGCTAATTGTTGTCTTACTACTATTAAGCCCACTGACTGTCCTGTTATTGCTGATGAAAATTGTTACTTGTTCAGATAATCAGTGGTGTTAGTGCAAACAAACACAAATACACATTTAGCACAGACATGTCGAATAGAGAAAGCAGCAGACAGCTGCTTTGCATGGTTAACCTCTCTTTTTGTAGCTCCCCCTATTTAACTGTTTAACTGCATCTACATCTTTGACATGTAGACCCACATTCTTCATCCTGAAATCGTCACGGCAGGCCGCTTAGCATTGGGAACATGAACACACATGCACACTGGGACTTACAACACAGCGCACACAAAGAAACGAGCAAGACCACGACCATTCCTTTACGCATGAAAAACATTCACATATGTTCAAGTTTTCAGACGCTTACACACACACATGGAGTATGCGGTCACCAGTCATAAACACATAGGAAGGCAAATTTGGTCCATATTACTCAAACTGGCAACCCATTAGTTCCCCAGTGCTCTCAATGAGCTGCATTATTCTGCAAGTGTTAAAATGGGTCTGCTGTGCTCTGTGGAGTTATAATTGAGGTATACTGATTTTACTGGTTACTATTTACCACTCTGTTCCTATTTATGTGTTCCCTGACTCGTATGTTGACTCAGGGTTGAGATTAAAGAGTGATGTTATTTTGAAAGAAAAGAAGTCAATTGTTGGTTCACTAATGAAGCAACAGGGGTTTAATGATAAGAACGTGGATTAAACATACACACAGTTACCTGTCTTCTTAAACTGAGGAACCATTGTAGGGTGCAATGGTCAGTACTTATGTGCATGTGTATGTACACTGTATGTTTCTAACTGTGTATCTTTATCAAGATACCGATCTGTATGTGTCTGTAGCAATCATTGGCTCTGGGTCGTTCTCTAGTTAACAAAAGGTATGAGCCAGTGATCTGTTAACATATAGTAGACAACTTTTTGCTAAAATTTGTTACCAGCAGCCTATTAAAATGTCATAATTTGTTCTCATTTAGTTAAATCCACGAACAATGTCAAAGATAGGACAGTTTAAGTGACATAAAACAGTGTTTTTATAACAACAACGTGATTCCCAAAGAGCTATTAGGTGCAAGTTTAGCATATCATAGCATGCTGTGGAGTGTTTCTTTAAACGTTTTGAGGAAATTGGTCTTCTGATGAGGGTTCAGTGAACAGTAGTTGAAGCAACTGAAGGGCCGGATGGATCTCACAGGTCTTTTGTCAGGTCTTTGCTAGATTATTTCTTAAGTACAAGTACTTCGTCACTCTACTTAAGTAAAATGTTCAGGTATCTGTACTTTACTTGTGTATTTATTTTTTGGACAGCTTTTTACTTTTACTCCTTACATTTTTAAACAAATATCTGTACTTTCTACTACTTCAAAACAGGCTTTTGGTTTAAAACAGTTGTTTCAAGTTATTTTTTCATGTCATTGTGGGCCTTCATATATCAAACCAGTCTGAGTCTGAGTTACACATGAAAGGCAGATCAACAAGGCAAAATCAAGTGACACAGTAAGGGGTTAAAGTGTTTTTATGTTTTTTAGCAGAACACTGTGATGAATGCAGATGTTCATCAATTGTGGTTGCGAAACCTCAGGATCTAGCTGGCACTACATAATTGGAGTGAGAAGCATAAAGGGAGTCATGTTTTAAGTAGCAGGTAATTTCAAATGCAGCGTTTCTATCAGCTTAACAAACATCAGCAAACACAAACTTTGCGTGCAGTTTGTCGCACAGTGTGTTGCTAGCTAAAGGTCCAGCTGCTGTTTTTCACAGGGAGAGAAAAAAAGAGAGAGCAAACTTCACTCAGAGATGGAGAAAGATAAGAAAGACAGGATAGATCATATTTATAAGGCAAGGACTGCTCAGTGCTATGTGCACTAACTCCTCTAGTCAGTACGAGAGATATTAATTACCCCACATGCTGAATTCCACGTTAACCCCTTCCCTACTCATTTTCTGTTTAAAGGCAAAGTCACCCTCTACCATTTTGGCAACAGAAAATAGAGGATTTTTAAGAAAGTTTTTCTTCTATTTTTCTGCTGATGTTCTATTTAACTGATTCAAGCTGAGTAACTTTATTACAATTAAAATTTAAAGATGTAAAGTATGTATTCTGATTTACATAGCACAAGGTTCAGGTAGCTTTCCACAAAAATAGCAGAAACATCAAGTTTAATTCATTGCAAAGTCAAAACCAGCACAGGTTTTTGGAGCCACAGGCAGACGATGAGAGGTGAACCAGGTTTAGAAGTTTTATTACACAAGAGAAGGTGTTGCCAAAGGCAGACAGGTGAACATCCACAAGTGAGTTGTTCTTTCCCACAGAGAAGGATTGTTTTCTTTGGGCACACCAGAGGGAATCTAAGACAGATGGAGAAAAACAATGAATGAAGACAGTTTTCTAAAATGACACTAGTTACTGCAGTGAGTAAAAAGCTCTAAGTCAAAGTCTAAGAGTACTGCACTGGACAAAAAGAAGCAAGTAAAAGTGGACATGTAATCACTGTCAATAAAATTATATAGCTAGGGTAGCTTCTGTTATGATATGAGTTGACATGAATGTAGCTTTTAACTAGGGTTTGAGAGTAACGAAATTTCTATTCTCTGTATGTCCTGTACATGTGGCAGAATTGACAAATAAAGTTGACTTTGACTTTGACTAACTGAATTCGTATCACTATAAACATGCATTACATTTTAGTGACAGACCACAAAAACAGTCTCCAATCTGATATCCTGTGTTTATTCTGCACAAAAACAGGAAGATTTACAGTATATGAATGAGAAAACTTTAATGTAAAAGCAATTAGATAGCATTATGTCCAGATGCATAGAGTAGAAGTGTGAGTTTTTAATTGCTTTAGGTAAAATGTACTGAAAATAAACACTGTGCACTTTTCTCTGCTTATCTCGTTTGCTATAAACAATTCCTTCAATTTGGAATATTGTGATCACATTACTGAACCTTTCCCTTAGATTTTATAACAAAAGTGCCACTCTTTAAAATTTTTGTTTTTTCTTAAACATCACAATGGATACTAATTGGCAATTAGGTTGCTGTTAAAAGTCACATTTTAATGTGTAGTTGATTGATTTAAGGTGTGTAAATGTGAAAAGGACTGAATATTTTTTGCAAACAACATATTCCATTAATAATTTTTGCAAGGCAGTGTAAATATGACTTCATGATCAGGGCCTGAGCCCTCCCAAAAAGTTTGATCCTAGAGGTTCCCCCCAGCTCTGTACACAGACACAGGATATCAAGACTTTTTTTTTCCAAAAAAGTGAGCTGATAGATTTGCAGAGAGTTTTTGTGATAACTAGTTAATAATGAACACAACTTGTGCAGAAGAAAATGGTTAGTAGAATTGTCCTTTACTTTCTTACTTTGAGTACATTTCAGAGCCTTTACTTTTTCACTTGTACTTGAGTAAAACAGTTTAATCAGTACTTCAGCTTTTGGAGTATTTTTAAATGTAAGTATCTGTGCTACTTAAATACAGAATTTCTGCTTAAGTACTCCAGATCCAGACAGTCGTCCGTAAAATGCGGTGGAGGCACTGTGGCTCTGCGGTTCGGGGCTGCAGTTCAGCCAGTGGTGTTGGAGATCTTGTCAAAATTGAAGAAAAGTGCCGTCAGATTTTGATCCACCGTGAAACACGGTGCATACCATCTGGAAACTGTTTGATTGGAAACAGCTTCATATTTTATCATGGCAATGATCCCAAATGCACTGCCAATGCAGTAAAAGCATACCTAGATGCAAAAAACACACAATTGAACACTATCAGTCATGGATTGGACCTCAACATTATTGAAGCAGTTTGGGATCAGCTCAACAGAGAACAGAACAAAAGGAGGAAAGATCCAAAGAAGAGCTTTGAATGTCCTTTGAGACGCCTGAAAAACTATTCCTGAAGACTAATTAAAGAAATTACAAGAAAGCTATATAGCAAATATTAACTTTCAAGCTTGTTAGAGCTATCCAAGCTCTGTTTTTTACTCATATACTATTATTTCATTTATATTTTCATGATTCAATAAATCGCTGCACCTGTTTCCCATTTTCCCAGAAAAATCTAAAAGAAGGGGTGAATCAGTACTTTCACACAGAACTGTATTTTCATATATAGCTATACAGAGAGCATCATGATGGATGAATGGAAGCTGGCACACAGTGACCTACAGGAAACAATTTGTCCCACCAATAAATAAGCATAGAAAAGGCGTTCCCATGTCATTCAATACTAAAAAGAGTTGAATCCTGTACATTAGTGATCTCATAACATATTTTAAATAACAATTAAAAAAAATATATTTTGATCTA